AACGGCTCGATAACATAACTCATTATGTCCTTTACAAACATCATATCCATGTCCACCCAGTCTTTTGATCTCTTATCTGTAAGATTTTTTACAACATTCATTATTTCTTCTTTGTCAGTTCCATTAAGAAAAATACTGTTGTCACAACTTATAACTGAATGGTTCACATTATTGTCCACTTTTGGTATTTTAGCAGCAAGGCTTGATCAAACATTCACAAAATGATGATTAAATCCATTTACAATTTCATTTTCATCATTGATTTCATTGTCATCCTTCAAAAAATATTGTGAAATACCTGTTTTTGCTTTATGACTTTTCAGAACACTATTTATTACTCGCCATGAAGCTTTCATATCACCATTACTTTTATTTAATAAATCATTATAATATTCTTTTTTGTGTTTCATTATAATCGCTACTAATTTATTTTTATACTTCTTATATTTCTCTTCAGCCTCTTGTGTTCTCAATTTCAAGAAACATGTATACAAATAATTTTTTTTTTACAAGCATTTCTCAACCCTTTTGTCATCCATGGTTGATCAACAACATTTCTCTTTGTACAATTATTTTGCACACAATTCTTTTCATACAGAGCTCCCAAAATATTCATAAACTCATCATATGATCTGTTCACATCATCAACATACACGTCTTTCCAGCTTTGTTTATGTAAATCATCTTTTAATTTGTCCATTGCTTTTTTGATGTGTTTATTGTTTTTTCCTTAATTGTAATTTCTTTTGTAATGCTTTGATCATTTTTATAAATCATGAAAACTGGTAAGTGATCACTCAAATCACTCGTTAAAATACCTCCCATCACATCCCCATTTGTTACATTTGTGAAAATAGTATTGATTATTGTAGCACTATGAGTTGTAATTCTTGTTGGTTTTGATATTAACGGATAGATTTAAACTATACAATGAATTTGTAAATGTACTGATGTTATTTGAATCTGTTTTATTTCCCAGGTCAATATAAAGTCTCCACACAAAAAAATGTTTTTATTAAAACTCTTGTCCAATAGTTGTACGATTTTATCAGTGAATATTTCTATATTTGATCCTGGAGATCGATATACTCAAGTTATCAATATGTTTTTATCAATCTTGTTTATTATTTCTATTGTTATTATTTCCATGATATTATCAACAATTATTGACATTTCATTAATTAATTTACATTTTATTTCATTTTTAGCAAATAGAGCCACTCCACTACCTCTTTTGTTGCTTCTGTTCACATGATATAATTCATACCTTCCATGTGAACATTAGTTGTGTTTTCATCGTTGAGCCATGTCTCTGACAGTGCTATTATTGTAAAAATTCTGTTTAGCTGTTTTAAATAATCTGTTATTTTGGATATATTTGCATTTAAACTTCTACTATTAAAGGGAATAATAGAGAGACCTCCATTTGTTATATTGATGTCATTAAACTGTTCTTCATTGTAATATTCACAGTCTTTTATTTCAGGGAAAAAAATTGTATCAATCACATCTTCAACATTGTATATTTTAAACTCTAAGTCTTCGTATGTTGCCATGTTTTAATGTATTTGTTTGTTTTATATTTTGTTAATTTCTTGTTTGTGAAGTTGTGTCAATGATTTATCATCTGTCCTCTCCTGAGCTCATTTTAGACTTTCCAGATCCTTCAGGTCTTTTATTATTTTAGCCTGAGATCCTTCCTGTATTTTGATCCAAATGTTTCCATTTCTTGTCCAAGTTGATGCTATTTTTTTCTGTTTTTTCAACCACCTTGCTTCACGTGCAACATTTCCATTTTTTTTAGTTAGATGTTCATTTATGTAAACATTTGTTCCCTTCAGTTTTTTTGCTTGCATTATTATATTGTTTCTTGATTTCCTACTAATGAACTTGATGACTATGGATGGTTTGGCTTTATCTGATTTGTTGGGCAGGGTGTGACAGATTGAAATGTCCTCATGTTCGATGTCAATGTTTTTGTTTTGTAAAAAATTCACTACTTCCTCCTCCAGAGTCTGTAGTTCTTCCTGTGGTGCATCTTCTGCTGTGTTAGTACCAGAAACAACTCTTGCATAAGTTTGGTTCCTTTTTTCTTTTTTCCTAGATGTTAAGTTAAGTTCCTAACTTCCAGTCCAGTGATCACCAAGTTGTCTAGTCTTGTGTATTGTTCCATGTCGTCTACTTTCTGTTCCACTTCAGCTATTTTTCTGTCTTTATTAGTCATCAGTTCTTTCAATTGTCTCACTTCTTCAAACAGTCCTGTTAGTAAATCACATTTAGCTGATAATTTACTCAGTTCAGCACTCAAAAAGTTCAAAGATTTTTTAACTTCCTCCATATCTTCTGAATTATTTTCCGACACTTTTCTCTTATCTCTGTTTTTGCTCGGCATTACTCACGATACTTCTGGATTATTGGTCTCAACTCTCAGAA